TGACTCCCGTCGGTTCAGATATACTGAATCCTGGGAGCTTTTTCTGTGCCACTGTGGATTCCCAAAAGATGTACGTAGTCGTTCTTTGGGAGTGAGGTACATACTGTATTCATTTTTAAATTCCTGTGGCTTAAGTATGTGCATGTATGCACACACATGCATGTCTGTGTTTTCATTTATGTGTTTAATTTTTGCAAGCTCAAGATGGGAGCATAATTGAAGACGACATGGAGCTCAAGGCTTATATAGGTGAAATGTTTAAGGAGTGGTTTTACCCATTCTCCTCCCCTAGTGAGCTGCCATGACTGAGGGGAATTTGAACCCAGGCCTCGCCTCTTGAGTTGTGGTATGCCACTCTATCCATTACTCTGCACTGGGTAACTTCAAGGTTTAGGGGACGTATCAGTTGCTCAACAAAAAGCATCTTGTTTTTAGCAACCCTATTTGTATTCCGCCATTGTATTCCAAGCAGCATGAACTTTATCCTCAAAACAACCTTATGAGGGAAATTAGGCTAAGAGATGATTAATCTCCTGGGAGAGTTTGGAGAACTTAATGACTAAGCAGACATTTGAGTCTGCTATCTCTTACCAGTACAAACCCAACCAAATATCCACCATGTTAACTGACATTTGACATATAAATTTTGTTCATGGTGTTAGAGGGGAGAGAGAACTCCTGGTCAGTATATAGAATTTAAGCAAAGCCAAGCAACACTGAAGGCTAACAGTTATCTTCCCTATACCAAAAAAACTGAAGAGCAGAGCTTGAAGAAGTTCTATGTTTTATTTTATTTTATTTTGGAGAACAGGTCTCAAGCTTCCAGGATTTTAGGAGCTGTTATTCAAAATAATAATAAAAATAAAATAAATCCCCTGCTCTGAAGAGTAATGAAATCAGGATTGTGGTTCATGGTGTATCCGTTTATTCCACCTGCACTCCTTCTGGTCAACACATTGTGTAGGTTGTTTGAAAATCCCGCCACACATATTTCTACACCGGTGATCATGAGACAAAAGAAACGTGTATATCACAACTTAGAAAATGAAGCTAAACATCTTTCAGTGATTTTTCAGTGTTCAGTGAAAAGCATTATGTGACTTCAGATCTATTTCTCCCTCAGTGTTTTAGCTAAACTTCCATTTAGCTGAGTATCATATGTAGCTAGTACACATTTAGCTTTTCTCTTCAAAAAAATCTTTGAAATGACTGGCTAGGAATAATCAGGCACCAGCACAAGTAAGGTTTACCTGCCTTATTTCCACAGCTGTGCAAAGATGAATATTAATTGTAATTAATGCATAAATAATGATATCCTTGTTTATGGATGACTCTCTCTCTCTCTCTCTTCAGCGGAGCAGGAGAACACTCAAAAAAGAACCTTGCCTTGTTTATGGATAACTCTCTCTCTCTCTCTCTCTCTCTCTTCAGTGGAGCAGGAGAACACTCAAAAAAGAACCTTCACAAGTTGGGTCAATTCACAGCTAGAAAAGGTAAGGAGATACCTAAGGAACGGAAAGGACATTTCTAAAATATATCTAAAGCTGTAGTTCTTAGCCTAATGTCTCCAGATGTATTTTGGACTAAAACTCTGCGAACCCTTCACCATTAGCTATGCTGACCAGGATTTCTGGGAAATTTTAGGGCTGCTGAATTTCCAAACCAAACCAATTCATGGTTTGTTTTTTCCCCCCAAAAGTCTGGGAAATTCACGTTTTGTGATTTGTGTCCTTCAACAAACCACGAACCATAACAAACCACCATTTTGCTGGTTTGTACCCATCTCTAATTCAGAGCAAACATCAGAAGTCCTACAGTCTTTCCATGCTGTATGGGTTAGGGTCGCTGGCTGAAGCTTGACTCTTGATTGACTGAGGTTGGTAAAATGAGTACTCCGCTCACTGGGGAGACAAGTTGCTGTTTGTGGAATTACGTTGGAAACAGCCCAGAGAAAGCTCTAGCACTATGGGGCAATATAGAAGTCGAAACAACAAACAGACAAAAAACAATACATAGGCTTGCAGAACAGAACACAAAACAAATGTCTAGGTGGAAGACATTTGGGGTCTTTGGGTACCTGAAATTAAGTGTGTTTCAATGACCGAAGTCCGTCCTGTTTAGGCAGTTAAAAAAGGTTAATTTGAAAGTCAATGAGAGAACTCTAGCCTTACCCCATCTCTTGCTCTCTCTGTGAGGAGAGGGCCAGTCTGAAGAGGAGAGAGTTGTATGGGGAGCATGTCTGCCCCATTAGGAACTCTGATGTTTTATGGATCAAAGACATTCCACAAGTAGCAGAGGTATTCCTTTTCAGACTGTCTCTCTCCGCATTAAGAAAGTGCCAGCCAAGGAAGCAGGGACAGAACCTTTTTCCTACTCACAGGTTAATCTCTTTTTTTTGGGGGGGGGGAGACACCTGATTATGGCCCTAATTGTTACTGTGGTGACAAACTCCAGTCAAGTCTGTGTAATTTTCAAACGACGCAGGAAGGATCACGGGACTGAATTCTGTTCTCTCCCAGCCCACCCCAAGAAATTTCGTGGATCAAGGAGAAATTCTCCTTAGCTTGCTAGGTTTTTTTGAGGGGGGGGTGGAGAATTAGGAAGAGAAGGGCTTCAGTGAGCTCCAACCTACAGACTGAAAAAGTGCCATCCGTTGGCGAGTTTGCCCCATCCATGAGAATGCACATTTCGGAGTGAAAGTGGGTGGAATAACAGAACAGAAATCATCAAAGGTTTTTTTCTTTTCTTTCCATTCCTACACCCTGGAATTAGGCTGAGCTCATTTCGCACTTTGCATCGAATATGTAAAGCAGCCACTGGTTGAGCTGTTAGTTTTGCCTCTTCCTACCTGATCCTTTTCAGGCAAGAAGAATTTTAGAAGCTCCATATGCTTCCTTGTTAATATTATTATATCCCCCCCCTTTTAAATCATACATACATCTTCCAAAATTACTTTCAAAACTGTTCTGGGGAACTCAAGGCCTGTGAAGTTACACATGCTGCGGAATCTGCACAGTCTTGTTGTCACTTTTTTCCATTCATAGGAATGATCAGAAAGCTGCAAAACCGGTTTATTTCTTTAGAGGGAAAGATCGGTCTGCACTGAAAGCAGTAAAATGGTTCCACGTCCAAGTTTATTTAGGTTTAATAGCCCATAGGCCATACACTGTGTCAAGTGTACACCGTGTATGGCCTATGGGCTATTAAACCTAAATAAACTTGGAAATGGAACAACCCTGAACACACCCAGTCTTGTCTGATCTCAGAGTAAAATTGTTCTAAACTCACCCAACTGTGAATGTTAACGCCTTTCTTCTATCCTTCCTGCATGATTGATCAAAATAGTATTCAGCATGGACTTCAGCCACATTAAAAGTGGAACGTCTGTAAATATAGCGTTCTCTGCTATTGAATTTTTCCCCAATTATATTTCTGTTCCGCCTCCTCTCCAGTGGAATCAAAGTAGCGTTAGGCGGCTGCTCTTCTCCCAACTTAGAGAAAGGCTCCTCGCAGGGAGACTCCGAGAGAGAGAACTAGAAAGTGGGTCTCCCAAACCCCAGTCCTTTAGGTTCAATCTCCTACAGTTTGAAGCCTTCAAAGATTCTCATAGTCAGCTGCTAGCGGTAGCTGCCTCACTCCCCCCAATGGTAGGGCCAGTTTATTTGTCGGATTTGGACATCAGACAAGTTGTGGAAGCCAGGGCTGACAGTAGCTGAAACGCTAAACGATACCTTGTTTAAGAGGCTCTGTAAAATAATCATCATGTGCCATTAATTCTGACCTATGGCAACCCATTTAAAGGTTTTTGCAGGTAGAGAATACTCAGAAGTGGTTTACCATTCCCTTCTTCTGGGGGCACTTTGGGACTGTGCAGCTTGCCCAAGACCACCCAGGCTGGCTTTACTCACAGGAAGTACAGGAGAAATTGAACTCCCAACCTCTTACTCCACAGCCAGATACAGTGGTGCCTCGCAGGACGATGTTAATCCATTCCACAGAAGTCGCTGTCTTGCGAAAACATCGTCTTGCGAGACCAAATTTCCCATAGGAATGCATTGAAAATTAATTAATGCGTTCCTAGGGGAAAATTTTTTTAAAGGAACTTAAGGGGTAGGGAGCTGGGGAAGCACCCTGAGAGGACTGGCAGAGGGTCCCCTCGCTGCGGTCGCCAGCTTTGGAGGTCCCCCGCCAGTCCTCTGATGGTGCAGGAAAAGCCTCCAAAGTGCTCAAAAGCTGATGCAGGTGGATTCAGAGCACCCCCGCCAGGGCTCTGATGGTGCAGGAGAAGCTATCAGAACCCTGGCTGGGGTGCCCCGAAATGACCCGTGCCCGCTTTAGAGCACTTTGGAGGCTTTTCCTAAAGCAATCACAAAAAAATCGTAAAGCGTTTTGTCATCAAGCGGGGCCACCGTCTAGCGAGGCAACACTGTACCTATATCACCAAGTTGTACAGCAAACTCTAGAGGATCTATAGCATTGCCTTAACAACAACTGAAATATCTGACAGTCTGAAGCTCTGAGCTGCACCTCCCTGAGTTTCTGGCTGAATCCAAGATTGATAGAAGCCCAGAGTTGTAAGGCAGAGAGATATTGCAAAAATGACAAATTGATCTGCAGCATATATAGGTTGCTGAAACTGAGCTGTCAGGCTATGTCCTGAGACTTTATAGGACAAATTGCCATCCTCAGGTATCACCTGACAGATGCTGATTTAGTTACCTGAATCCAGAGGTGTGCCCATTTGTATTTTCAGACTACAGTTCCCAGAATTTGGTAGTTTACAAAGCACTAACAACAGCAACAGGAACAACGACAATAGTAAAATTGCCAAGCTGGAAGGGACCATCAAGTCCAGCCTCTGTCAAGGAGGCACCGTGGGGGAATTGAACTCCACAATCAGAGGCCTAAACCACTGAGCTATCCAGCATCCTGCGTGCACATGTGCACCTGGATCTCTTGGTACTTTGGGACTCCTGGAGCCAAAGAGAGAAAGCATTTTAGGTCATAGGTCCCTCATTATGAATAGCTGCAGGCAATTGAGTCTCCCAGATGCAGTTAATATTCATATTTTATTATTTCTTGTTCTTTTCTTTTTTTGTATGTTTTCCCCCTACTACATAGATATTGTCATAAGTATTGTTATGTGGGGGTCTGTGGGATTTTAAGTTTTAAGTTGTAAACCGCCCAGAGTTGTTTTAAGTTTTAAGTTGTAAATCAACCAACCAACCAACCAACCAACCAACCAACCAACCAACCAACCAACCAACCAACCAACCAACCAACCAACCAACCAACCAACCAACCAACCAACCAACCAACCAACCAACCAACCAACCAACCAACCAACCAACCAACCAACCAACCAACCAACCAACCAACCAACCAACCAACCAACCAACCAACCAACCAACCAACCAACCAACCAACCAACCAACCAACCAACCAACCAACCAACCAACCAACCAACCAACCAACCAACCAACCAACCAACCAACCAACCAACCAACCAACCAACCAACCAACCAACCAACCAACCAACCAACCAACCAACCAACCAACCAACCAACCAACCAACCAACCAACCAACCAACCAACCAACCAACCAACCAACCAACCAACCAACCAACCAACCAACCAACCAACCAACCAACCAACCAACCAACCAACCAACCAACCAACCAACCAACCAACCAACCAACCAACCAACCAACCAACCAACCAACCAACCAACCAACCAACCAACCAACCAACCAACCAACCAACCAACCAACCAACCAACCAACCAACCAACCAACCAACCAACCAACCAACCAACCAACCAACCAACCAACCAACCAACCAACCAACCAACCAACCAACCAACCAACCAACCAACCAACCAACCAACCAACCAACCAACCAACCAACCAACCAACCAACCAACCAACCAACCAACCAACCAACCAACCAACCAACCAACCAACCAACCAACCAACCAACCAACCAACCAACCAACCAACCAACCAACCAACCAACCAACCAACCAACCAACCAACCAACCAACCAACCAACCAACCAACCAACCAACCAACCAACCAACCAACCAACCAACCAACCAACCAACCAACCAACCAACCAACCAACCAACCAGTCAAATAAATATGTTACAGCACAATCAAAATATAAATCAATGTTTTGCAGCATTCACCGCCTTCCTTTGTCTTGGACTTGTATGCAGACGTCGGGAAGGGACATGTGCTTTTGGATCTCCTGGAAGTCCTTTCAGGACAACAGCTGGTAAGATAATTACGAATTAATTGATCAGTCAAGCCCATAGATAGACCTAAACCCACCGAGTGATCCATCCATGTTAGTCTGTTTCAACAACCAGAAAACGGTGTTTGCATAAGGTTTGCATAACTTGCTGCAGCTAATTGCGGGTAACTGTCAATGCCGTGGGACACATACTGCAGCTGGTAAGATAATTACGAATTAATTGATCAGTCAAGCCCATAGATAGACCTAAACCCACCGAGTGATCCATCCATGTTAGTCTGTTTCAACAACCAGAAAACGGTGTTTGCATAAGGTATGCATAACTTGCTGCAGCTAATTGCGGCTAACTGTCAATGCCGTGGGACACATACTGGTTTTGAGGCCAGGAGTGTGAGCAGACACATGACTGAGATGAGCCCTGGCCCTTCAGCAATTAGCTGCGATTCACTATGGCATCCAAGTCATTGGGCCCAGAACTGAGCCCACTTGTTCCTTTCTCTCTGTTTGAGAAGGAGCCCTTGGCAAGCATTTTCTGAGTATGATTCTGTAACCAACTGTCTCTTCCCCTGGTCGTTATTCTATTTAGCCCAGACCGAGTCAGTGTGCTAAACTGTTTTCTCTTCTGTTTTTTTGACAGCCACGCGAAAAGGGATCAAATACTTTCCAGTGCAGAAGCAACATTGGAAATGCTTTGGCTTTCCTGAAGAACAGATCGGTCAGTATTATTCTGACCCGGAGAGGGTTTTGAATCCACTCGGGGGCAAACTGCTGCCCAAAATGTCAACACATTTTTTTTCAAGCTAGCCTATACAGCGTTATTCTTCATAAACCTCTCAGAGCAGAGGTGGATGACTAGCTTTGCTTTACATTCGTTTCTGACAGCAAATTTCACGTACATTCCCTACAATCCATATTAATTAATATATCTTCATTAGGCAAAGTTGCCTAAAGATGTAAGTACACATTTCAGCTATGATTAATGGGAGGGTACAGTAAAAGGATTTCATCATGCTGATATTGTGACCATGGTGCTGCTCCCCACATAAATGTACACTTTTACAGAAGTTGAATGTACAAACATGGTTCATTTCCCCAGAGCACGTACAAGCTAGAAAAAAACATTTTTAAAAAATACTGTGGTGTCCATGAGCAAAAACTGAAATCAAGGTTAGGTAATACTTTTACTGCAGGACTAAAATATTTTATTGCCTGGCTATGGTAAAATATATGCTGGGAAAGGAGAAAGGCAGCAGGAAAAGAGGGAGATCAAATATAAGATGGATCGATTCCCTAAAGAAAGCCACAGGGTGGAGTTTGCAAGAGATGAGCAGGGCAGTTGAAGGCAGGACATTTTGGAAATACTCATTCGTAGGATCATAAGTTGGAGGTGACTTGATGGCACGCAATGACAAGTAAAATATTCCCCAAAGGCAAACCATTAAGTTCTGTTAACATCACCCTCAAAAATGTATTCTTCAAGCCTGAATTATATTCCTTTTAGAACTTCTATTTGACATCCACTTTAGCTTCTCACCAGAACAATTTAGGGACTTTTCAGGGACTCTGTTGAAGAATCCTGAGGACTTGAAAGCTTGCCTTTTGGGGATATTTGAGTATTCCTATAAAGATATTACTCCCACAATCAGGGTGGAGTCAACTTGTACTTGCTTCTTTTGATCCATGTAGCAAGTAATGCATCAAGCTATCAATCAGATCTGTGTGTCTCCCCATCTATGCATGTTTTGAAAAATTAGCTTTCCAAGCTCTGGGACTGTGTACATGATCCTTGACTTCAGTGTGTCTGCCCTTACAAACATAGAGGTGGTGGATTTTTATTTTTTTTTTGTATTGCATTTGAGAAACCAAGAGAAAATGTTACCTTTGAAGTGGTGAGAAGCAGGTCGTTCTGCATAACTTGGAGATTAGAGATGGGCATGAACCGCAGGTGAACAGGTTTATTCCATGGTCCGGTGCCCTGCCCACTCTGGCGTGTGCCCACTCAAGAGGAAGCCACTGGAGGAGGCTGGGCGTGGAAACCAGGTACTGCTTCCAAGTGGGTGCCCCCTGGAGGAGGAGGGGCGCCGAATCGCAGAAAACACCTGTTCAAATGTCCGCCGAACCAACACATACTTCCAAACTGGCAGTTAGGGCCCATTTGTATCAGAGATCCACCTGGGTTATTCAAGGTTCATATTGAAATTGTTTTCTAATACTATACGTCATGCTTTTTCTACTGTCAGACATCTGTGGTCTCTTTAACCTATAATGTTGGTTCAGGAAACAATTGTGATTTAAACAAACCAACAGCAGTTATTACATATATGATAAGACCACTGCATAATTAATTAATTAAAATATTTTTACCTTGCCTTTCTCTTAAAAAGGAACAAAAGCAGCTTACATCCTTTAAAAAGACAATATTACAAACTAAAAACAGTGTGTTATATAAATATTTAAAAAGAATTAAATCAATGTTATATTATACTATATAATATTATTTAATTTAGTATCATTTGAAGGTCACCCATCTGTTGATAAAACAGATTTAAAAACAAAAATGCAAGCCATCTTGGTTTAAAACCACTCTTAGAGAGCCAGTCACTCAAGGGAAGCATGTCTGAAGAAAAAAGGTAATTTCACCTGCTTGTGGAAGGACAGCACAAGTCAGCTGAAGACCTTTTTCCTCAGTCCTTTCCAGTCTGGGTTTAGGCCGCCTCCTGACATGGAGCCAGCATTGACTACCCTGCACAATGATCTTCTGAGGGAGGCTGATGGGACAGAGTGTCCCTATTGGTCCTCCTTGATCTCTCAATGGCCTTCAGTATTGTCAACCATAGTATCTTCCTGGGACTGGGAATCGGTGGTCTGGCTTTGACCTAGTTCTGGTCCTTCCTCAAGGACCATCTCCAGAGGATACAGTTGGGCGAGATGGTGTCTTGGATGCTAAACTGTGAAGTTCCTCAGGGATCAATAATCTCCCCCCCCCACACACACACAATTTAACATCTACATGGGACTGCTGTGGGAGGTCATTCGGAGATTTGGAGTTTCGTGTCACCAATACACGAGTGACACCCAACTCGCTCTCTCCTTCCCTCCTGCAGTGGATACTGTCCTGTCCCTTGAGCGCTGCCTGGATGCTGTGCTGGGATGAATGACAGATCATTGTCTGAGGTTGAATCCGGACAAGACAGGTCCTCTGGGTGGGGGCTCTGGCTGCCTGCAGATTGGGTGCTTCCCTATGCTACTCTCTCCGTGAAGGATGAGGTTTATAGGTTTATAACATTTTACTGGATCCAGTGCAGTCGATGGAATCTCAGATAGCATCTGTGGTCCGGTCCGCCTATTTCCATCTCAGGTGCACTGCACAACTGCCTCCCTTCCTTGACAACAAGTCCCTGATCATGTTGGTCCGTGCACTGGCAATCTCAGGAATAGATTACTGCAATACATTCTGTGCTTTGAAATGTGACACATTTCTGCCTTCTCGTTTTTCAAGAAAGTTCTTCTTTTTCCAGATCAAGCTAATCAATATCCATGTTGCTGATATCATTGAAGGAAAACCTTCCATTGTGCTTGGCCTCATTTGGACAATCATACAGCATCTTCATGTGAGTATTAATCAAAGTCATGTGAGAGATTTCCAAACTCTTTTTCCTTGTATGTGTATTTGTGTGTTGTTTTGCAAATTATCCTGGCAATTGTTTGACAAATAAACTAAATTAACCAACCACGAAGGCAAGTAACATAAAACAACAGACATTTTGCCTGTATTGATTTTGTTGCATTTAAAATTGTTTAGTGGTTGGTTCATTGTTTGCTTTTGTTTTGATTTTTGCTTTTTAGCCCATTTTAGTCTGGACTCTGTTTCGGATATTGATAAGTAAGAAACATAAGTACGAGATCTGGTAGTGTGTTCATTTTTCTTAACACTATGTTCCCCATTTACTACATTTTTCATTTTTCCTGGGATAGTAAAGAAATTTTTGAAAATTTTGGGAAACTGTTTAATGAATTACAGTTTTGTTGCCCCAATTTCAGCTTCCCAGCAAACTTCCAAACAACCCCCTTGAACTATTTCTGACATCCAGTTTTGAGCAGATGTCTTTGTGGGGTCTAGTCCTTTGCCAGCAACAGTATGATATTTGTAATTATCTCATTATTGACTTGCCAGATTACTTATTGATACAATTTTAAAGCCAAACCTGAATTCTACCTAGACATAAAAATAACTGAGGATATTATACTTTAGGCACGTCATCAGACAAAGCTGTTTGGAAAAGACAGTCATGCAGGGAAAAGTTGAAGGGGCAGGAAAAGAAGACCAAATGGGAGATGGATTGAGTCATGGTCTTAATTGTTTTATGAATAATTTTATTGTGGGCCGCCCTCAGTAGACATGGTCTAGAAGGGCGGGATAAAAATCTAATAAATAAATAAATAAATAACACTCAAGGCAATGACACTGAGTTGTCAAGACCTGAGCAGGGTTGTTAATGATATATCATTTTTGAAGATGATTGCTTCATAGCATTGCTGTAAGTTAAAAGGAAAATTTTAAGGATCTAGCACTATTAAAGAGCAGGCCGGGTAGGTGGGGCTCGTCAGCCATGGAAGGCAGCCCATCTAGGAGAAGGAAAACTCCAATTTCAAACCTCCACTGCCTTGTGGCTATATCCACTCATGGAAAAGGCTTCAGGAGTTAACCTCGAGGCAAAATCCGGACCCGGAGACCCGGAGGCAGCATGTGTCGTTCTGCCAACTCCTGCGACATGGCTGGAACCAGTTGTATTGGCTCTTGCCTTTCCACTGGACCATTTCAGCAATGTGGAGAGGGGGGATCTGCTGCTTGGGTAACAGCCTATCCTCCATATTACCTTACCCGGGCTTCATGCTCTGGAGAGGACACTCCTCGATTCAGAGCATGTTACCATAGTCTCTCGAGACTGAAGGATGCCTATGTCAAGTTAAAAGTGACTTGATGATGTATAACAACAAACCCAGCTTTTTAGCCAATGCAAGAGGGATTCCTGATTATTTACAACAAGATAGGTTTATGGTCTAAAGCAGCCATTCTTACCGGGAGGGCAGCGGCGTATGGGCCTCTGAAGCGCCCTGGCACATTTGAAGAGGACCAAGGACTGATAAGGTTTATTATGCAATTGATACAATCCAAATTCAGCCTATGTTTCTTTTATATTGTGTTTATGGCCTCCCCCCTTCCCCGCCAAAGATGCATGTAGGGATGCTCTGGGGATGAACTGGTTTGCACTGGGACGTATGGCATATATGGTTGCCAAGAAATGGAGCAAACCAGCCTGTCTGGTGGACCAAACAGGTGGACAAATCCTTGTGTAGTTGTACTCTTGAGTGTGCTACCCCCTTGAAATCACCGATGCAAATCAGTTCGTCTCTTGCAAATTTTCAGTGCAGTGTTTCTCCTTTCCTGAATTTCTGCTTGACAGATTGAGGAACTGGCACGGACTCTGGCTGGTGAGTGCAGTAATCCATCTTTGGACAGTCCAGATATCGGGGACACCTCGCCGACAGCAAGCCCCCCAGCTAAAAGAAATGCTGCAGCCAAGGAACGCTGGAAGATGTCAGCTAAGAAAGCACTGCTCTTGTGGGCAAAGGAGCAGTGCGGCAGGTACATAGTGAGGGATACATCACATGCTCCGGCTCATGTCATTTCTGTGAATGTTCCCTCCCAGTTTTTATATGCTTTAGGGCTTTAGAAAAAAACCAACTGCATGTAAAATATTTGTTTATTTATTTGTTAAAATATACCACTCCCTTTAGTTCTGCAGCATAACTCAAGAATGGGCATTTAGCTATACATTTAAAGGAATATTTTGATGCATAGAGTCTTCCAAAGTACACACTGTGTATTTTATGTTTTCTCTCGAAGCACGAGTTTTTAAACTCATGTTGCTAGATTTTTTTTCTTTGAACCAAGGACTGTTTTGTAACATGGGAAGAACTGCAGGGAGGACATGCGTGTTTGAACATGCCCGCTAGTCCGGGAACTGTGGATCAAGTTAATTTGGATTGGAATGTGCACATAACCTAATTTGTCAAGCACCGCTGGATGAACAACGCAGTGCTTGAAAAATTTACCTCTGTTGTTTTTCACTCATGTGTATATACCTGTTAATATGTATATACTACCATGTTTCCAAGAAAATACAACAGTGTCATATTAAATTTTGCTCCACAAAATGCATTAGGGCTTATTTTAAGGGGATGATTTTTTTTTTATGTACAACCATCTACATTTATTCAAATACAGTCGTGTCATCTTCTTCTGGTTGCTGCACAACAGTGGAGGGCGGGGGTTCACTTCACTGGGGCTTATTTTTTGGGTAGGGCTTATATGACAGGCATCCTGAAAAAATCAAACTAGGGCTTACTTTCAGGTTAGGTCTTATTTTCAGGGAAACAGAGTATATACATATGTATATTATATCCATATTGTTGTATATAGAAACCGTTTGGGATCACTTTACTTGTCAGTTGGGCAGCCAAATGTATTTATGGCCGTACCCCTCCCCCACCAAAGATGGCTGCCCAACTGACCCAGGCCTCACAGCTGAGGTGTTGATGTGAGAAACTTGAAAAATATCAGCTAGAAATCAAGCTTTTTCAGCAGTGGTGCTCTTATGGAATGCTTTCTCACAGGACTTAAAGCAGGCGCCCTCCCTTTAAACCTTTGGAAAACTTCTAAAAACAGAGCTTTTGGGGCAGCTCTCCCCAGTTAATTGAATATTAGATAACGTAACATTTTTATTTTGCCACCGGTCTTGTTGTTTATATCTAAGGATGCTTTAGCACTTTTAGAGTGGGCTTCATAATTTACATTTTCTTTATATTTATGTTGTATACCACCCAGAGTAGGAAATTTTACTACATGAGTGGTATAAAAATTGAATGAATGAATGCCTTAATATACATATTGAGGACTACTTGCCTCGTGATCTGTATGTCGGAAGTTAATAAGAATTTGAAATAATATTAATAATATAAAGTGTCATAAGGCCATGTAGGGCACATCTGCAACAGTATGGAATGTTCTGGCTTAGATTTCCATTTGGTGGGCCATGTCCAGGTCTGAGATTCTGTCTTCTATTTCTCCTCCCCAGTTTGCCCTGTTTTTATACCCTTCCTCAAGTTAGTCCTTGTTCTGTGGCTGCTGAGCCCGCTCATACTCCTTTGGGTTTTCTCCCCACCTTTATTTTTTTAAGCTATTAGAATTCTTTCTGCAGACATTGGGCCTCCTCTAGACCTAGAGATAAATCTGGGTGCTGCCGTATTGGGTTCTTTGGGAGGACTGTGCTTGGGGGAAATAGCTTACTGTTAGGGTGGAGTGCACTGCTACTAGATACATGCTGACAACCCTAAAATTGATTTTAGTTGTAACTTTAACAGAGGACTGTTGTTGTTCTTTAGTCGTTAAGTCATGTCCAAGTCTTTGTGACTCCAGGGACCAGAGCATGCCAGGCCCTCCTGTCTTCCACTGCCTCCCGGAGTTTGGTCAAATTCATG